ATATTAAAGTAAATGAGGTAAGAGAGAATTTCATAGAAAGTTAACTCTTTTTACTTAAAGACTGTTTATGCAAACATATTTGGGAAAAAAGTTTACTTAAAGTAATTTACTTCTTTTTAGGCTTAGCCAAACTTGTACTAATAGTATCGTTTTAACTTTTGGTTTCTGGTTCTGAATTTAAAAGGTTACTTAGAGTAATTTACTTCTTTTTAGGCTTAGCCAAACTTGTACTGATAGTATTGTTTTAACGTTTGGTTTCTGGTTCTGGATTTATTTATCAGAGGAAGCCAAGAAGAAGTTAATAAGTGCAGGGTATAAACAAATATCAGAGAGACAGGAATGGGATTTAGAAGCTGGCAAGAAATATTTCTTCACCAGGAATCACTCCACTATTGTTGCTTTTGCTATTGGTGAAAAGTATGAAATCGTAGTTTATCACTATCACTTCCGAATGCATTATTTCTTTATTTCTCTGGATAAAAGATGGTTTCAATTTTCCATTATTTTTATATGTATATGGAAATAAATGAAAAAAAAAAAAGAGAGAAAAATGAGCTCTTAATCTATGTAGTTATTTTGTGGGACCAAGTATTTTCTACTGTGTATAGTTGTTGAGAGTGAGAATTTCTTAATTCTCTTCTCACAATTTAATTCTGATGTGTATAAGAAAGTTTCTAATACTCGTGTACAAGACTGCGTGTCAAGGAAATTGCATGAATGTATGGACTTTGAATGTGAATTGATTGGCTGATATGGATTCATTTTTTGAATAGATATGTTGCCGGGAATGGATTTTATATAGTTGGTGCTCACACTGATAGTCCATGCCTGAAAGTAAAGCCAGTTTCAAAGGTGATTGATGACTCATATGCTATGGTTTACATTTAAAACCCTTATATTGGTTGAGAGGAAGATAATTTAGTGCTAAAATTTGAATTACAAAACTTCAGGTATCGAAAGGTGGGTTTCTGGAAGTTGGGGTGCAAACATATGGAGGGGGCTTGTGGCATACATGGTTTGACCGCGATTTAAGTATTGCCAGAAGAATAATAATAAGAGAACGGAAAGATGGTTCAGAATCCTACTCACACTGGCTTGTCAGAATTGAGGAGCCTATAATGCGAATCCCTACATTGGCAATTCACTTGGACAGGTTCTTCCGTTGGAGATTCTTAAGTTGGTATATGACGCATGTTTATTTTGATAACTCATATATGCTGTTGTCTTCGTTGGATTAGAGGAGTTAATGATGGATTCAAGGTGAACACAGAAAGTCATCTTGCTCCAGTATTGGCTACATCAGTTAAGGTAACTTCAGAAATATATTTACTTTCTATTAAGCTTATTCATACATTATCTAAATGTCCTTGAACATCCATGAAGAACAAAGATAACTAGCTTAAAGTTAATGCCTTTTAAGTAAATTTTTTTGAAAATGGGCAAACGTATCTGGATATGTTACATTTTTTGAAGTTAGTCTATGTTTGGCTCATGTTTATAAACTGTTTATAAATGCTCAAGCTACTTTTTATCCACATATTTCAAGGAACTCACAAAGTACTACACACTTATCCCGCACTAATTTTTATTTATTTATAATTTGAATTATTTGTAAACACTTCCAAACCAGCAAAGGTTCTAGAATTCAACATAAATCGGTTTAACATCATTACTCGGATTTATTGGGTATCAAAAAACCCAACAGCTCAATCCACTTTTTATCCACATATTTCAAGGAACTCACAAGTACTACAAACTTATCCCACACTAATTTTTATTTATTTATAATTTAAATTATTTATAAACACTTCCAAACCAGCAAAGGTTCTAGAATTGTCAAGGCTATTCGATAAGGATGGCTGGCATTCACACATCGATTCTGAATTATTTGATTTTTTACACGGAGTATCTCAGATTATTAGATTTGCTGTCATCTTTCTACTGTTTTCTTGTGCATGTACATGTTGAGCAACATGGATTTTTATGTAATTTTAATTTTTACTATGTGGTAACAACCAGAGTCAGATATTCGAGTTTGGAAGTGCAAGTATATAAGGTCTGGTACTTATGTTTGATAAAGATTACAGTAAAACACGACGCATTTGGCATTTTTCTTTGGTTAAACAACAATTCTAAACTGATCTAAATGTAGGCCAGATGTGATGTGGAGTAGTTATTAAGAACAATGATTGTCTGTTTGCTTATATCTACACAAATGTAACATCAAAACAAAATCCCATCCGATGATTATATTTGACCTCCTATTTTAATGGAGTAGAAATTCTGTCAACATTATTAAAACAAGCTAGGATTTCTGGATTAGTTTCATTTTCTAATTGACACCCATATAATTCAGGAATTGTACTATTATCATTCTATTACATGGACATTGGTCTTTCCGAGGTAGCTTGAATTTTCTCTGTTGCTTTATATTACCACTATAGAGTTCGCACCCTCCAACTGGCAAATAATTATGAAGAATATGACCTCTCATTATTCCTTAAAGCAGGTTCATATAAAAGTGTTGTGAATACAATCAATTTTAATTTATATTATCCTTTTTCCGTGAAACGAATTGGATGGAGTACAATGTTCTTTAACATCATTATATTGTATTTTATTCGTCAAAATATGCTTCTCTTAAACAATTTGACATTTCTCATGCAGGCTGAGCTCAACAAACCAGTTGCTGAGAATGTTTCTGTTGAAAGTGAAGTTCCAACCGATGGGAAGAAGATCAAAGAAACTAAAAATAGTCCAAAGCATCACTCTCTTCTTTTGCAGGTAAGTAGGTTTCTGGTTAGGTTGTCTTTCGCGTTTTTCTTATTCTTGTTTTACTTATAATGTCTACATATGTGTGTAGGGAGTTTGTGAAATTTCTCAAACACTATTCATCTTGAAAATTTCAGCTTTTATTTTAGGGATCTTGAACATGTTCTCGTCACGTACTTTTTTACCTTCTTCTACCCTTTATTCCAGCTTATTGCAGCTCAGACAGGATGTGATCCAGATGACATATGTGATTTTGAATTGCAAGCATGTGATACTCAACCAAGTACTATTGCCGGTGCCATGAATGAATTTATTTTCTCTGGAAGACTGGATAATCTCTGCATGTCATTTTGTTCTTTAAAGGTGCGTACTCATAAGCTATTTAAACTTTGTTGGTCAGTTATGCCAATTTGTCGATATATTCAATTCAAGAAATGTAAACATTCTGGGGTTGAATGTGAATATTTGGCTGACACTAATTTCTCTTTCTTTTGTTCTCTGCCTTGATATCAAATTAGGTTCAAGGTGTGTCTTAATTACATTTTTTCTTCTTTTGTTTTACGTGCTGTAAGATGTGTGAAATTCAACATCTTTCCCTGCTCGTTGCCTGCAATTGTCATATCAATTTTAGTTGGTTGATAGATTGGTCAAATCTCTTTCTATATTCTGAATTCTTACCAATGCTTATCTAGTAAACGAATATAAAGTGGTGGAAACAGAACGAGTTGATATCAATCTAGAGCAAGCATTACCGGAAGTACTTGTGGCATTTTATTGTGCCAATTCTTGTAAAAAATGAGCATATATGGATGTTCGTTATTTAGCTGTATAAGCCATGGAGACCACTTCTTTGGGCAAGTTGGACGTGTGTTGCACGTTATTCTAAAATGCTTTATAAGTGTCGTGAAAGTAATATTTGACCCTCCATATACGCTTTTGTTCTAAATATGAGAAAAATTCAATTCCCTAAAAATAAATGTTAATTTATATACATGCACGTAAATAGTGAAATGCGTGCTTGAATGTGAATATTAGAATTACAACTAAATGCATAAATGAAGATGAATGACAAATAAGATACATGAATCAATGTGAATGTTAATTAATTTAGAATTAATATCAAGGAATATATACATAACAATGAATGTTAAATCATTTATACTAAATGAATATAATTTAATTTCCAATTAAGTGAAATTAGAAATTCTAATTAATATCAATTAAATAAATGTTAATGTTAATTAATTGATAATTAATAACAGGGAAATGGATGTGAATTTAAAATTTTAATTAATATTAATTAAATGAATGTTAATGTTAATTAATTAAGAATCAATAATGGGGAATACATGAATAAACAAGGATTTTGTAAAATTATTACAATTTATAGATTAAATACTTATTGAAAAACGAAAAGTAAGCATCAATGAATAATTGAATTGTAGTAGGGCTATAATAGTAAAAAAAAAATGATTTTCACTTGATGTGATATTTATTATATTATAGATATAGATTATTGCCACTTAACACCTTTGGTTATTTCTCATATCTTTCAAATGTGAGTGGAGTGCTGTGCATTTGCTATGCACTTAGCAGGTCTAATAATATTTTTAGTGATGTTGGATCATCATTGATTTCTGAAATTGAATACATACTTCTGCGAGCATCAGTCGCACTAGTTCATTTTATTAGTAAGTCAGCAATATAAATCCTGGAGCTTTAATTGCCTTCCATCATCTTCAGCTAAATCATATGTGATGTCGTTCAAAAATAAACATCAGAAATACCGAGCTCGAGGTTGGTGCTCCGGCTCCTCCATTATTCCTGTTCAGAAGGGTCTCATAAATGTGATTGCAAAGAAAGCGATAGAGAATGTTCCATAGACCACTCAGTGATTAAGTCCGAAAGAGAGTATATTTTCATAATTCTTGCCTTGCAGACTAGTCTTTTTTATATAAAATAGGTTAGTGTGAATTTTATAGTGAATGAGTGATTGATGAAGCTCAATCTTTTCAGTATATATTGGATATCATGAGTCTGTATTATAGTTGATGTTAAAGTAATACTGCACCTTGAATACATAAAAGGGAGAGCAGTTCAGTCAGCGGTTCATTTTATTTTTGTTTCACTTTGCTTTTCATTTCAGGCATTGATCGAGTCGACCTCCTCTGAAAGTAGTCTCCAAGATGAGACTGGCGTAAGAATGGTGGCCTTGTTCGATCACGAGGAAGTCGGATCTGATTCAGCACAAGGAGCTGGATCTCCTGTCATGTTGGATGCTTTATCACGAATCACGAGTTCCTTTAGCTCAGATACAAAGGTACCAATAGGTTCATGTCACTTTATTGTTCTAGCTTTCCTTTGAAGCAATGCACATGCTTTGAAGGTTTCTCGTATCTTCTCAAACATGAAGCAATTTCCTCATTTTCTAGAAGAGATTACACTGCCAAATTTGAAAGGGATTTTGCAGACTGGCCAACATTTTAAGAAAGTAACTGAAAGTCAACACGCTCTGAAAAGCAGAAATTTAAGTAAAGAAATATAATGATCCACTCACTAAGTTAAAACATATAACGCCAAACGAATCAGAACTTTTACAGCTTTTAGCGTCTTTTTTAATTTATACTCTTTATTTTACTGCATATTTTGCACTGATTTCAACTGAAATTACCAGGCCAAAACCTGTCCTTTTGTTCACTTTGTTCTCCATATTTCTTAATGAACTTAAGCAACTAGAGTTGATATTTGCGGCATTAGTCAAGTAATTAGCTCGATGTCATAATTGGGTTGTCACAGATTATAATCAAATATTCTGTTATTCTGACAATTGGGGGATCATTTCTTTTGGAATGCCTTGATTACCTTTAGTAAGAATTTATTTTACCAGATTCCCACCCCCTCCCCCCCCCACCCAAGCTAATCTGCTGTTATCTCTTGTCAATTTGATTGTCATGCAGTTGCTACCAAAAGCAATTCAGAGGAGTTTCCTAGTCTCAGCTGACATGGCTCATGCCTTGCATCCTAATTACATGGTATGCGAAATGCTTTGCTCTGTTTTCCAGGATTCTGTATTGACTATCTTCTGCATTATGATGATTTACTTTTGTTTATCAGGACAAGCATGAAGAAAATCATCAACCTAGAATGCATAGTGGGCTGGTCATTAAGCACAATGCAAATCAACGATATGCAACCAATGCAGTTACTTCCTTTGTATTTCGGGAGATAGCAACCAAGCATGGTCTTCCTGTACAGGTTGGGAACAGTAAAAGGTTTTTAACTGTTTTGATAACAATATAATAAATTGAAGCAGCAAATATCACTAGATGAAAGTGTCCTAATTTTTTTCTTAGAGCATCCAAAGATGGTTCCATCTGCTAACAAGCTTACTGAACACAGACGTGAAACTGACTGAGGGTTAGAACTTAGAAATAGTATTAGTTACCTAATAGCATTGTTTCACTTCGGTCTCCGAATTTTTTTTTTTTTGGTTTTAAATTAGTCACCTATGTTCTTTTTTGTTAACTATTAGGTACTCCGTCTACCTCAATATGTTAAATAATTGAAAATTCTAACGTGGCATGAAAAAGCTAACAGCACATTTTTTATCGCCCTGATAGAAAATTGTATTTTTCTAGCCTAGTAGTGCTTTGCAATGTGCTTTCTCAAGCTAACAAAAAAATAAAAATAAATAGAAGTAGCATATACATATGTTGGTTCTAGTTTCAACTGATGCTCTATCCTCGATAAATTCAGATGATCTTCACTAATTTCTTGAACAGGAAAAAAGCAAGCAAGATTGCAATCAGTTATATAAGAGAAAATGAGTGATTTATTTATTTTTTGCATCACGTGCACTATACTCATAATCGGGATTTTGTAGTGAATTATTTATAATTTTGATGGAGATTCAAATCGCAGGATTTTGTGGTTCGGAACGATATGCCCTGTGGTTCAACCATCGGTCCCATTTTGGCAAGTGGTGTAGGCATCCGCACAGTTGATGTTGGAGCTCCTCAGTTGTCAATGCACAGTATTAGAGAAATGTGTGCAGTTGATGATGTTAAGCATTCGTACGAGCACTTCAAGGCATTTTATGAAGAGTTCTCGCATCTGGATGCAAAAATTACAGTGGACATCTAGGATTTGTCAAGAATGTGCACTCTTTTCAAGTATGTAAATTATCGAAATAATGATGTTGTATTTGCATTTTAGTTTGGATGGATTTTAACAGTTTCTGAAGTTAATAGGTTGGATTTTCAAGTACGTAAATTATCGAAATGCTGTCGACAGCATAAGACACATTTGGAAGATGCGTCAATTCCTTGATGTGCCTTTTTTTTTCTGATTGTCTTTCGATTAAACTGGCGCTAAATAAATTGTTTCTATGCAAGATTATTAGCAAAATTAATTGTTTTACTCTATGAATGTGTGTTCAAGGGCAGTACAAGTTACTTGTAGTGGTGCTACTTGGAGAAACGGAATGGAGTCAACTTCATAAAAAAATTTGTAACTGTAAACCATCAGCACTTTGCTTCCTTCCCTTTTGTTTATGAATCATTTGATCATATCAAACTCGAATCGACTCTATCTCATTTATCCGAATATTTCGTTAAGAAATGGAGCCGGAAAGGCAGATTCAGGGACACTATATATTGAGTTTCAACAAAATAGAATGCAATGCCAATGAGTTCAGTCGAACAAGGTAACTGGTTTTTGGCATAGAATCAATATAGAGCCTTCCAAACTTGATACTGGCTCCATCCGAATCCCACATCGGTTGGTGAGTGTTAGGAAGAGAAATTGAGGCTATAAAATAAGAGTTATACTGAAATATTGAATCATGCAGCCGTTCAGGGAGCACAAAGCGAACTATTCTTTCGCCTTTTACTAAAGAATACCGTGTGCTCTTTGCAATTAGCGGCATATACTTATTTTTGGAGGGGTCTGTCCTGACAGGGATTGCCTCCAATCAATTCTAGTTCCAATGTTTTTTCTCTCACTCAAAATAATATGTGAAGTTTTAAAACAATAGTCTCATGATTCAATTTAATCTGTAATGCAATTTTTAATTGTAGTCTTGCAATTAATTTTATAAACAATTTTTGACTAAATCGTTGCTTAATAAGTTGCAAAATTGATTGTGCTGAAGGGTAGTACTTCGACAAGGAATTTCGCTACTTTACGACTGTTGTAGGTTCACCTGGGCTTTGGTTGCTGGCTCTACTGTCATCAGGTCATCAACTTCCTTGACCTTCAGGCATTGGGCAGGAAATGGAACGGCGTTTACTTCATGGAATAAAATGTAAATGAATGTCACCATCACTTTTGCTTTTGTTTATAGATTCATTTGCTCATATCAAACTTGAATCGACTCTTATCTCCTTTCTCTGAATTTGTATGTTAAGAAGAGGAACCCGAAATGCAGATTAAGGGATTAGTTCCCACGTGATAGAATTCTTCGGTCGAACAAGGTAATGGGTTTTACGTACAGGATCAAGAAATTGGCTCCATCTCATATCCTCGAGTTTGTTAAGAAGAGGAACCCGGAAGACAAATTCGTGGATAAATAGGTTTGAGTTTCAAAGTGATAAACTCGGAGTCGATTATATTATTTGAGCAAGGTAACAAGTCTTGGCAAGAATCAATCGGAGCCTTTCAAAAAAATTCTCAAAATCGTAATGGATTACTATAAAACGGTGAAAGATATGCAGCAAGATATATGCTGGTGGGATATTTTATTTAGTCCCAATCCCACATCGATTAGTGAGTATTAGGGTGAGAGAATAAAGGCTATAAAACAAGTGGCACGATCAAATGAAAAATTATGCAGTCGTGCGATGAGCACAGAGCGAACTATTCTTTCGCCTTTTACTAAAGAATACCGTGTGCTCGTCGCAAATAACGGCATACACCAAATTTTTGGAGGGGTCTTTCCTGATAGGGATTGCCCCCAACCAATTCTAGTATAATTATTTCTCTCATTTTCTCAAAATAATGTGTGAAAAATTTATTTGAAGATAGCAATAATGAGTTGCCATGATTCCTATATGACCTGATCAATTTGATTAGGCACTCGCAATCAATTTTCATTGTTTAAATCTTTGATAACATGAAAAATCATTGTTCAACCTTTTGACAATATGAAAAAAACCAAAAGTTGTGCCCTCCCTATCCATCCATTTGATGGAAGGACAGAGAGGCATTTGGTGTCCCCTCCAATCAAGTATTGGGCCTCACAATCACTAGCTAATATGTTTTTCTCTCGTGCTTTTCTTCGTTCATGGTCGTTGTCGTTGTTGCACAGTTCCTTATTTATGTGGGAGCTATAAATATTTTAATCATTTTTGCAGTGATATTCATGAATGGTTTGGAATATTACAAAGATTTATCTTTAGACCATTGAGGATGGAGTAACTTCAATAATTCGTACAAGTCTTTTTATTTCACTAATTATTACTAAAGCTAATTTACCAGTTAAGCCTCCTTTTAGCAAAATTTATAAAGATCAAACTAGTGATGGCAATGGGGCGGATTTGGGACGGGGCCCCGCCCCTCCCTTGCCCCGCCTTGCCTTAGATAGGGCGGGTGAGGGGCGCTGGCTTGCCCCTTTTTTTTTCAGTTAAAATACAAATTCAAAATTTTAAAAATTTTGAGCGGGTGTTTTGCCTTCTCTTCCAGCCCCCCTCACAAGTATCGTAAATATCCTTGTAAACCTGTATAAAAACATGCATGTTTTGCTCAATTAGAATGATTTAAAGTAGATCTCAATTGAGGAAAGAGTTTCTCTGAATCTTGATTGTTACATACGAACTCTTTAGGCCTTTAATTCCTGTTGTTTTTCTTTTCAGGTTTATCTAGTTGATGATAAATATTCTGTCCCTCTGGGTATTTATAAAAAGGTCATAAATTGCTAAATTCAGCTGAATTGTACGGTTATTAGATAATGTTTTATTTAGATTGTATTAGCTTTTCATATTCTGGAAATGGGTAACACCAATTTTGGTTTGTAAAGAACTTTTAATTTCCTCCATTTGGGAAAATTCAGTCTAGATTTGGTTTTTATGTCATTAATTAATGTTGGATTTTTTTTTTTTAATTGGGTGGGGCGGGGCGTCCTGGCCCCGCCAATCCGTTCGTGGCGGGTTTTTTTGCCCTATTCAGGGCGGGATCAAACTTCATTTTCAATCCCATTCCAAATGATCCACATGACTATTCACTATTTAAAATGATCCACGTGCTTTTTTCCTTAAATGAAAACGAATCATGTTCAAGCTAACAAGAATCATCAATCATAAAAAGAAGTTGAAAAAAACTAATATATAATTATAACCCAGAATTTTAATTGCAGCCAGGTTATCAAATAAGCTCAAAATTGACGCACAGACTAAGAACTTTTGGACTAACAAATTGGGCAGGGGCCGCGCGAACGCAGGCCCCGCTACCACAAATTATGACGTAGGCTCGACCACTTGGGCCGACCTTAGGCGTGCGCCCCTCCCAAGTGCAATGGAAGTCGCCAACCTAGGCCATGGGCCTTCTTGATCACCCATTGACCCCGTCCAGGTAAGTATGTAAAATTAGCCTACTAGGTCTTATTTTATAATACTGCTAAACCCCTCTTGTTTCTTGAACTTCTGATGTGGGATTCAGAAGACATAATAATAGTGCATTACCATCAAATCTTCTCCTGCATTACATTACGTTTTCGTTCCCAATTCCAAGAATTACATTACATTTAAAATGTTAATACATTTTAATATTTGTGGAAAGGAATATAGAAATTTCATGATATAGTGAAAATAAAATTCAAAAATGCTAGATGTACACTCCATGTGTACATCATCCTTGACATTTGATTTGTTCTTAAAAAAGGATTGGAGGGGAATTTTTTTAATTTTTTAAACTGTCCAATTATGTGTTGTCATGTGACAAAATGTAAAGAACGATGTAAAAGATTATGTACATGTAGCATGATTGAATAAAATTAGAGATTTCACCTAATGCGGGCAAAGGTTATACTTTTGGTTCATGATCTTGTACGCTTTGTTTCTTATGTTTCCTGCTTTAAATCCTTCATATTCTAGTGATGCTTTTATTAATTCAAATTTTCATCATAATTGGATTTTAACTTTTCTTGGCTTATGAGAGATTAAGTTCATATATGGCAGATAAACAGAGGTGAAAGTACATAAAGATTAGACTAATGGATTCAGATATTCTGATAATTCTAAGAAAAAATATAGATAATCATCTTTTAAAGACCGACTTCAATTCAAAGTAATATCGACAAACACAGTCGGGAGATGACCCATTTCGAATGGAGAAGACTAGTTCCATGAGATCACACAATGTCGGTCATCATGCTTGTCGGTTTTGAAAGAAACAATGGACTGTAATGATCTTAATTGTGTCGTGACGTGTGGGCAAAAAATAACAAACAAAACAAAGAAAGACCAAAATAATTAGAGTAACGCTATTTAGCCTCATTGGGGTTATACTCAGAAACTAGCTGCCAAATACAAATTCTAAAAAGCGCCTCCCAGGACAGCAAAATATCTTCCAAGCAAAGATCTTTTGTGAAATTTATTTCGAACCATCAAAGAATGGATAATGTAGACAGATATAAGACAAAACATTCAGACAGTTTTCCAGGAACATTAGCAGCACTGTTACATTACTCGAGTCCTGGTCTGCCTCTCAACTAACAAACTTACTACGATATGAAAAAGAATGAACTGTCCAAATTGTAGCACATTCAGTTGAACAATAATAACTCAGTACTCACCGAAGACTCATATTTCCCTCCATATCTCTTTTGAATGGTAGCACCCGAACAGCTAAACAAAAAACGAAGTCAAGAAATAAGTAAAAGACCAAAAGAATGGAATGGACTTATTTTTGTAGGTGATTTGTATCGTCAGTTGCTCGACCTGATTTGCTGCCAAGGCAAAACTCTAACAAGGTTCTTGATAAAGTGAGCGAAGTTTTCTATCATTTGGGTCATTGAAACTGCAATTTGTTTCAAGCTGTGTATAGACCAAAATTGTAAGTATTACACAATTATCCGGATTAAAATTTATCCAAGGAGACAACGAATTATTAGGATACACAAGAAACAACTAATTTCTAACATTATTAGG